CACTGGGAAGGCGCAATGACCTCCGCCGCACACGCCACCGGAATCAGCGTCGGGTCGAGTGCGATCCCAGCGCCAATGACGCTAAAGATGGCTTGCATCGGGTTGACAAAGATCCACTCGTTGAAGCTCGTGTAGCAGACCGTATCGACGCCCGTGAACTGCGAGAGGCCAATGGAAAAGTTGAAGTCCGTGGGCAGTTCGCCGCAAAAGAGACTGCCACCGGCACAGAGGTACGCGGTTTGATCCAGTCGTTTTGGGACAGGACTCATTGAGCTCATCATGATGAGGTTTCCAAAGTCGGACTGGATTTGATTGGTCGCGTTGGTGAGGAGATGCATGACATCTTCGCGGACGGCGCGTTGCAGCGTCGCGAGCGATGGAGGGGATGCCACGTGGAAGACATCGACCGCGCCAAATGGACCGACAGCGTCGTGAAAAGCACCCAGCACTTCACCCAGTGGCGACGGCAGCGTCGCGTTCCTGGTCAACAGCTCCTCGAGAGATGTATTGGCAAAAGCAAAGTCGGGACTTGGCCGCAAGAGCGACTTGCCAGCGATCCCAGAACCATTGGTTGCGATCGCCCAGAGATCACTCGCAAACGTCCAATATGTCTTCCACGACGTCGACATGGACGAGTGATACGAGCCGTTCTTGGACTGGAGTGTCATGTCGTATCTCAGACCAAAAGCGTTCTCAATTGAGAAAACGTCGTGGAGGCCGAGTGCCTTGTAGTTTTGCCATTGCGTCGTATACGTCGTGAGACCTTTTGACTGCCACACTTTGGCTTCATCGACCACAGAGAGGCTGGAGCCGCTGGTCAGAGTCTTTAGCCAGGCAGCGCCGTTGGGCTTGAGAGAGCCAATGTCTTTTGCGACCCCAATCTCAAACGAGGTGCCCCAGCACGACTCAAACGTGGGCCAGTCGACGTTTCTGAGAATCGACTCCAAGTAGACAGCGCCATTACTATGGTACTTGGCGTTGCATCGCGCTTGGCGAGCGAGTGTGTTGGCCATCTCGATTTGCCGATCAAAGTCGAGCCAGCAGTAGCTGGTAGCGATCCACGGCGCGTTGCAGGCGTCCATGGTGCGAAGACCTTGGATCATCATGACAAGGTTGCTTCCTGACTCGTATTGCACGAGCCTCGCGTAGGTCGGAGCATACGTCACGAGCGAATTTGCACTTGAATAGTCTGTCATGTCGGCAAAGACGGGGAGATCAAGACGCGTCGACGGCTGAGAAGCGTTGAAGTGGAGATATCGGTTGAACCAGTTGGAGAGAAAGGTCTGCGTCCCCGTGGTGTTGTACGTGGCCCACCACAGATCGTTGGCCAAATTCACAGTCGAGAGCCGAAGGTACGAAATACTACCCACCGCTGTCGCCGCGAGGTAGATGAGCCCACTCCAAACTTTGAGTTTTGAAAATGCCGAGCTCGACACCGCGACTGTGCTAGGGATGCTTGGCATCGATGAGTTCGGGCCAACAAGGGTCTTGATCAAAACTGGACCCGAATCGACGTAGAAGAAGAGCCACAGCTTGGTGTCGAAAATGAGCCGGAGCGACTGGAAGCGGAAGCGGAGAAAGCCACTCATGGCCGCTGTCGATGCGTCCAAGCTCCACATGTCGGCTTCCTTTGGCGCCAAGAAGGCTTCGGCACCCGCGGAAACCAAGTGCGTGAGCGTTGGGTGCCCACTCGACTTCACGAGCGCTGCTCGCTGCAGCGACCTATAGGCCCAAACAGCGCCGTACGAGAGCCCGATAGCAATGGCATTCACGCCCAGAATGAGCCACGCGCGGCCAAGAGACCCGAGGTTGACGACGCCGCTGTGACACGTCAAAACAGCATCCATGTTGACTCGCGTACACTCTCGACGAATCGCTGCGGTGGCTCGAATGGGATCAGCAATCTCAAGTAGACCAAGGCTGAGCCACACCAGCCAGGCGCTGAGCGGTGCTGCCCACCGCGAGTGTCTGCGAGCAACGACCAGCAAAATGTCGTTGAGGACGTAGGTTACCCACGTGGCTTCGCCTGCGAGAATCCCAATGTGCGCTAGCGGACGAGGTGCAAACTGAAAGCGAGCAATATTGTCTTCATTGAGAAAGACCAGAGGTGTCGTGCTGAGCATGGTAATCGCGGCCGCCGCGCGAAGCAGCAACAATGGTCGACCGACCCAGACAGGTCCCATGACACGGTTGTACATCAAGAGGTGGAGTCCGTCGACGTCGCGCGACGGCTGAAGCAGAGCGTACGCTGCCGTGATGCAGGCAACACCCACGAGCGCCACCGACGTTGTAATGGCGACCACGTAGAGGTAGTTGCAAGTGCTTTTGGGTACTTCGATCGTTTTGGCGCGAAATGGAATCGGCTCGATGCGCTCCGACATCAAGTTGAACGTGGCGACGTCGCCTTGGAACGAGACGACCTCTCGGTAGCCATTGACCCACTCGTGCAGCGCCACGTAGCCCATGAACGACCACGTGTCATCACCCAGCAGCGGCTGGCGCAAGACAGTTTCAGTTCCCCCCGGGGTCCGTGCAAACTGGATGATCTCTACGTTGAGACGCTGGATGGCATCGGCAGCAGCTTGGACTGTTGGCGTCAGTAGGCCAGAGAGTGTAGCGTTTGTCAGCAGCTTATTGGCGATGACCGAGGTTTGGGTCGCGAGTGAGTTGCACACTTCAGAGGTCGCAGCGCTGCAAGGCGAGCAGCTGCTAAGATCGGATTGATGCAGCAGTCTCATAGCTGTAGCTGCAAACACCGCCGGCAAAGGCTCCACGAGGAGGCGGCTTGGTACTTGACTGCCGCACGTATCGTCAAAGGTAAAGGACGGCTGCACAAATGTCAAGCCCGAGCCAAACGGGCAGAGCGGACTGCCGCCAAAGAAGGTGTAGCTGGATCTCTGCCATGAGAGCGGCACGGGATCCAGCAGTGGCGCTGGCAACGCCGCGTAGAGGTTTAAGAGCGGTCGGTCGGTTTGAAGTGCTTCGACCAGCGCGGCTTCCATGGCCACGTACGCATTGACGAGCTGCGCAGGTGGCGCCACCACCATCAAATCAACGTTGAGAAAGGGCCCGAGCGTGTTGTGGATAATGACGCTCGCGGGCGTGAACGGGTAGAGGTTGAGGAGCATCTCCATGAGTCCATCGCCCATAAAGTTGCTGGCACTGCGCACGAGGCTTCCGTTGGTGACGGCCGAGCCCCAGAGGTCGTCGAAAAATGCCCAGTTGAGCACAAATGTCGTCCACTTGGAGCCTCGTTTGCCGAATGAGATCAACTGAATCGTCAGATCTTGTTGCCAGCCCAAGGCGTTGACTACCGAGATGGACTCTTGCACGCTGAGCTGCGCGTAGTTGTTCCACTGCAGCTGGAAATGCGAAATCTGGTGCGATTTCCAGTACGCCTCTTCGCTCTCCAGAGTCTGGTACGCGTTCTGGAGACTCTTGTACCAGTCACGGCCTTCTGATGTGATTGTAATCGCGTCGGCGACCGCAGAGTCGACACTGGCACCGTAGATCGGGTACCACGCGTCCCAGTGAACATTGCGAAGGAACGCCTCAAGGTACACCGCCCCATTGTCAGCCATCGTAGCAGCACACCGGGCTTGACGCGCCGCCGTATGAGCGACCTCCCAGCGCTTTTCAAAGTCGGCCCAGCAGTACAACGTAAACAAGTTGAAGACGTAGTCTGGATCGAGCGACTGAAAGCCAATGATCGCATCGGCCACCGACGTGTACTCGACCAACGCACGAGCACGAGGGTACGTGGGTTTCGCGAACGCCGTTGTCGACGGAAGGCTGTACGTCTTGAGAATAGCCTCGCTGGGGTCAAAGAGGTCAATCTCCGAGGCGCTGGAGACGCTGAGGTGGCGGTTGAAGACGTCGATGAGGTACGTCTGCGCCGACGTGGGGTCAAAACCTGGCCAGAAGAGGTCGTTGGCGAGACCCGGACCGACAATATCGAGGAACCAGATACTCGTACCCATCGAAGCGCCGAGGTAAGAGAGGCCTAGCCAGCGCTTGGTCGACGTTGAGAGTATCTTCAGCCCCACCATCTCTTCCGCCCTGATACCCAACCGTTGGAAAATGGTTTCGTTTGGGCGACCCAAGGGATAGAATAAGGGTTTGATATCCGTTGGGGCGACCTTTGGACGCTTTGGGCTCCATCGCCAATCCAAATCAGTCTTTACCAACTCCGTCGTGCTCGCCGAGAATTGCTCGAGCGACTTGAGCCCAGTGTTTTGCGACCGCGCCAAGCAGCGCAAGAACGTTCCGGTAAACTGCCATGTTAAATACACCTTTTCTATAACCACAAATGCCAGAGCATCCCTCCGTGGACCCGAATTTTTACGACACGACATTGCGCTTGCAGCTCTGCACTGGGCGCGAGTTGAAGTTCCACGACGTCTTGGCCATGCGTAGGGCTAGGCGAGCTGCTTGTCGATCGTGTTACTCTCATTTCCACTCATCTTGAGTACCTTGCGTCCACCACCGTCGGCACAGAACTGCACAAAAGCGTTAGGTCACCCAAGGGTCGAATGGTCGTGCAGCTTTCAAATGCGCCTCTCTACAAAGGGGCCAGCGACTACTGCGCTTCGCGGTTTCAGCGCCAATCGAATGGTCTTTGCCGTCTCGCGTAGCGATGGATACATGCTTGCTTGCATCGCTGTTGCCTCCGTGCATACATCGTTGGCCACCGTTTTGCAATAAAGTAGCGACTCTGCGCTACTAGATCGTCTTGCTGTACGAGACGCGTGATACCCTACCCCTCGCCACCAAAATCAACAAAACAGTTCTATATGTTTCGTTTCCAAACGCAGGGTTAGTCGCCGTGGCGCGGGACGGTCCCAAGCAAATGCTGCACAAAGAAATCCATGCGCTTTCGCTTTCCGTACGCGCTGTCGCCGGCCCCGTGTCCAAGACGCGGAAATGGCAGCAGCTCAAAGTCCTTGTCGGCGTCCATGAGCGCTTGCGCGAGCTGAAACGTCGATGCGGGGTCGACGTTTGTATCGAGGAGACCGACGGTGAGGAGGAGCTTTTGGCGTCGCGAGTCCAAGCGCTGGACGTGCGTTATGTTGGCGTTGGCTGCGTAGCACGCGGTAACTGGGTGTCCCATAAAAAGCTCGTTCCACCACAGCTTGTCGACGCGGTTGTCGTGGCAGCCGCAGTCGGCGGCCGCTACATGGTACACGTCGCCGTGCGTCAGCAGGGCAGCCACTGCGCTCTGACCACCGGCCGACCCGCCATAAATGCCAACGCCAGAGCTGACATCAAGAAGCATTGGACACTTGGCAGCGACGGCGGCGAGCCAGCGCACGCGGTCGGGAAGGCCCGCGTCCAGGAGGTTGCGGTAGCAGACGTCGTGGAAGGCCTTGGAGCGCTGGGCCGTGCCCATACCGTCGATCTGAACGACAGCAAAACCGAGCTCTGCGAGCGCTCGCATCTCGAGGCAGAGGTTCCAGCTCTTGGGCACAAAGGCATCGTGCGGGCCCGCGTAGATCTTCTCAATCACTCGGAACGGCCGAGTCGGTGGCGCCGTCATCAGCGGGAGCACGACAATGCCATAGATGCGCGTGGTGCCGTCACGGCCAGCGACGTCAAACCGCATCGGCGGCTGCCACCCGGTCGCAAGTAGTGCCGCAATGTCGGCCGACTCGACGTGCAACAAGAGGGCGCCATCGACAGTCCGACGCAGCTCGACCATCGGCGGCAAGTCGATGCGCGAGTAGCTAGCCAACATTCCAGGGTTAGGTTAGGGGTAGGGTACTCAAGATAGCGCACCGATCGAGGTAGACGCTCTTGTCGGGTGAGAAGCGAGGTGGGTCGTGGGTTGCATCAGCCATTGTTAGACGCGTGAGCGCCCGCGTCGAGAGGTTGAGGCGTACGTACTGGACGTAGTACGGATCCATCGTGTCATCGAACCCGCGGACGCTAAGGACCGCACTGCGCTCCGTTTCATCGATCACAGTGACGCCCGAGACAACAAAGGGGCCTTGGGTGAGTGTAAAAGCGCAGAGACGGTCGAGCTCCTGGAAGCGCGACGGAAGCGTGTAGAGGTACAAATGTCGGTACCCAGATCGCTCCGACGACCACAGAATCTCATTCGACATCGGCAAGTACTTGAGGTACGTGCGCGGGTGGTCGACAAACGTCTCACTAGTCTCTTCCACGAGCATTTTACTCTATCCCAATATTATGAAAACCACATGCGATAGGGCAATAATATAATGAGACTGAGTAGCGCACCTGCCCCGTGCTGGCGTGCACTGCAATAAGACGCTGGCACTGGTGGCCGCGGGCATCGTGCAGGAAAAAGGCCCAGTCCCCACTCGGGTGCCAGTGCCACTGCGTGTTGCTGTAGCTTGCAGCAAAGAGGTCCGGCGACTGAACAGCAATGACGCGCTGTGTCTACGCACGTCGGAATATGACACTATACCAAAAGTGCAATGTGAGATACGGCAATCTCAATCAAGAGCGGTTCGTGATAGGGCAGCGGATCGCCCGGCTTGAGGTACTTGTGTGTCTGGACGCGCGCCGAGACGTCCATTGTTCGCGGGTCGGTCGTTTGCGCCGCCATCTCGAGCAGAGTGAGCTGTCGCGGTTGCTAAGGTTCTTGCATGAAGCCTCCGGTAGCTCTGGCCGCGTGTACCGCCGGGTAGTGCACGCGAAAGCAGGCAATGTACGCCTTTTGCGGACAAATCGTCACGTCTTCGTACTGCAAGAGCGAGCTGCCGTCGGTCGTCAGGCCAACGCCATCGACCACAACATTGAATGCGTCCGTTGATGGCGTCTCGTCGTCCACAAGCACCGACGTGACGATGGCGTCGGGCCCTCGGAGCTCAATGCGCTCGCTATGGCCTGCGCCTCGATACCACGCCAGGATCATGTCGCTCTCGATGTGGACGAGTTGCCACACATGGCCTTCGTACGTGTGCTGCTTGGCTTCGCCGCCTGGGCGGATCTCGCTGTACTGATGGGTCTCACCTACCGCACGGTGCATGAAAGGCCTCGAGCAGATAGCGCACCGTCCGTGTCGACCCAGCGCATGACGATCGGGGCGCTGTAGGCGTTGGCGACGACGAGGTTGATCTCGGCCCCGCCATTCGTCGAGACCATGGCAGTCGCTTTCGAGGCGACGTCGCCCGACACATCGGTGGGCTCCATATCCACGTCGTACGAGTGTACATCGCAGAGGAACCAGCGCGAACCTACATGCGCGGATATGGATGCGGCGGATGCACGAAGAGCTAGCATACCCGACGCAGTTGTGACAGCCACGCGCACGAGATGGTCCATGTCGTCGACGAACGTCGCGCGCGTGAGCTGCACCTCGGGCATGCCCATGTGCGTCGCGATCGCGAGCTGGAGCCGGGCGGCGTCGACGTACCGCACGCCACGGCGGCAGTCGATAAAGTGCAACTCGGGCGCTTGCGGCGGCGGCATCGCCCGGAGGTACCAGAAGCGGGTGCTGTCGGACGACCAGTGCGGCGTGACGTTGTCGTGGAAGACCTTGTGTCGGAGCGTCGCGGGTATCGCGTCTGCCCGCGCATAGTCACTGCGCGAGCCCTGCCAGCGCTGCGCCGTCATCTTGCCCGCAATCTAGTGAAATGGCGTCCCGGATTGTAGCATTCGGCATCTACTTTCTTAAATTCGGCATCTTCGCTGCATGTTACCACCATGTCGCCCATACCCTCGCCGCAGCATGAGGGCTATTGATGCAAAGCAAGCGTACCGGCATCGTACACTGTTGGTGCCTGGAGCGAGCTCTTATTCACCCCTGGCCCGTGCGCAGCGCTCAAGGTGCGTCCTCCATGCCAGCATGTTGATTCGGCACATGCCGAATATACATAGGTAATGGATTTTAAATGAAACGTAGAATCATATCTTGCGATTTGAATGGGATAAAATGCAATATAAAAACCAAGGCAGCGATGACGTGGCACAATGCTAGGGCTCGCCGACGAGCTGGGCGTACTGAAGCGTGTGCGTGGTCTGCACGGCGTGGACGCTCGAGGGCGAGATCGTGCCCACCATCATCGTCTTGGACTGCGCAGTACGAAAGTGGTCGCGGAGGAGAAGCGTCAGTTTGGAGTTGCGGTAGCAGCTCGTGCTCGAGAGGTTCTTGGCCTGCGACCGAAAGCAGGCCTTGAGGGCGCTCAGCGACTTGTTGATCTCACGGCACTCTTGCTGCTCCGTCTCGTTCTTGACGATGCCGTCCGACGCGCTGCCAGCGTGCTCCGAGCCTGCGAGGTCGACAAAGACGAGCGTGCCACCGAGGCACGGGGCGCCCGCCGCCTGCGCCGCGGCCACAGCGCCATGCGCGGCCTCGATCGCCTTGTCAAGCTGCACGAGCTCCTTGCGGAGGTCGAGAAGGAGCGAGCACTCGTCCTGCGACGCGCCGCGAGCGTCGGCCTTCTTGACCCACTTGCCCTCAACTTTATCGTGCTGGCGTACAAAGATGTCCATCTCGAGCGTATCTCGCTCGTGGCCAACGCGCGTGAGGGCGGCTTCGACTTCGATCACGTCCTCGCGGAGGCGCAGAATGCGATCAGTCACAATCTCGAGCTCGAGAAGCGCATGCGACCGGGAGCTAGCGCGGTGGACGTTCGAGTTGCCGGTCGAGCGCGCGCGCATGCCGACCTGGACAACGTCCCAAAGCTCACCGGCGGTCGTCGCGACGCGGGTAGCGCTGGATGACGGCTTGACCAAGCCCGTCTCGTCGTCCGTCACGAGCTCGCCGCGGATCTGGATCTTGCCATGCGCGTCTTCGCGCACAAAACATTTCGCCGAGTCGTTGAGGAGGTCGTAGACTTCGCCGTTGTAGATCTCGTTAAAGCGGACTTGCACCTGGAGCACATCGCGCGGCTCGGAATTGCGCTCGTTGAGTTCGTCGAGCGCACCAAAGAGCTGAACCGTCGCGAGGTCGTACATGCCCCGCTCGTTGCCGTAGCCGAGGATCGTGTGCGTCTTGCCCGAGCCCGTGTGACCATAGGCAAAGACACACGCCGTGCGGCCGTCGAGCGCCGTCGCCACAAGCGGGCCCACCGCGGCTTCGAAGAACTCGCCGTTGGTCTTGTCGCGCTGAATCGAGGCAAAGTACCGGTACGTCTTGCGCCGCTTCGGCTTGGACTTGGGCACGGTGAAGCCGAGCACCTCGACGTAGTCGACGTCGTCCGCGTCGGTCTTGGGCGCCTCGACGACCAGCGTTGACGGCGCCGGCGTCTCGAAGAGCAGCTCTTCATCACCTCGGTCGACCTCGTCGCCGACGAGCGGCCGGATGCGAACATGCACGTCGACGCGCTTGGCCTTTCCCTTCATCCCGCTGCTTGCACACTGAGCTTGGTGGATCGAAACCTAAATCGACATGAAATAGTGTTCTTATTGAGTACACTATTTATTACATTTCGGAAATGGTTATTGGATCATGGTAACCGATGCGGTGTTCAACAGACTATGGAGAGTTGATGGCGATGAGTATTGCTTGCACGGGCGTGTATCAGGAGCGGGGCTGCGCGCTGCAAGCGTACTAGCACTGTATATGTGCAGGCACGGCAAGGTTATGGACGAGTACCCTGTGCACTAACACTATTTAAAGACTCTAATAATAGCACAGAATGATGGTTGTACACATGCATTCCGCGAAAGAAACGGCGGTGATTGGAGAACAGGAGATCTTGGACGGTCGTCAGCGACCGGTCGCATCGGCCGAACGTGGCGAGGTGAGAGGGATTTAGGAGCGAAAGGACCCTTAACAAATCTCAACCGAGTGCGAAATGCAGGCAACGACCAAGTGCTTAATGTGGGCGAACGCACGGATTTTTGAAACTGTTTGCTATTCGTTCTGCGAGTCGAGAGAGATAGCGCATGCGCGATTCACAGCCCGCGATGGACGCGAGGCTTGGCATTCGTGGTGGTATTTTCGTCGAATCTAAAAAGCGACGAAATGAGTTTATGTTGAGATTGATGGCATTCCGTTTCCACTGCATTGCACCCGGGGTCCAACTTTGTCCATCATCCCCACGCGTCATGGAGCGATTTCACTTCAAACAACCTATTTCGCTCCCTAGAAAAACGCGCCTCCCACAAAGCCTGCGTTTATGCACGCTAGTATTTCCTTTGTTTTAATACGACCATAGTTTATGGCCTTGGATTTATGCCCGTTGCGACGACACTGCCTTCCGACGCTATTATCAGTGCTGATATCGTGCCAAAGACACGTGCCAACGCTTCGGATGGACTCTGAATGGTGACGACGCACGGTGGCATTCAATATCGCGAACCATGCGCCAGGACCTTGCTAAGAGGGTAGGTACTCATATAGTGCCCTACAGCTCGATGGCGCCATTGGAGCCACCGAAAAACTACTGTAGGGTACTAGTACTTGATTGCGTAAACTGCTCCAAGAGCAAGAGCTCGGCCCCACGATCTGCTCACACTTCTACGACCGTAGAATACACAGATTAGAAACGCGAATGCAAGCAATGGTCACCAAAGCCTCAAGAGTGTTCGTGCCAAGGACCAGCGTTTATTAGAATGGGTCGGATGGTTCCGAGGTACCAGCATTCTCACACACACATTCTGTCCCATCGTGTCGTCGTCATTGCCCATTTCCCTTTTTCGACCATGTCGCCGACGTCGATCGCCGCCAAGAAGCCCCGCGCGCAGAAGACAAAGCGCGTCAAAGTCTACCTGCGCATCCGCCCGATGGTACCGTGTGAGGTCGAGCGCGACGACGTTCCGCTCTCGCTCACGGAGTCCGCGCCTTCGGAACTCACGCTGACAACGCCTCCGACGCCCAACGACGACATTGAATTCGTCGAGATCCTCGATGGCATCATGGTGCCCAAGTCCAAGCCTAAGCGGTCGCGCACGTTCCGTGGTCTCAGCGGTACGTTCCGCGAAGCCTCCTCGAACGCCGACCTCTACGCCGCTGTCGTTGCGCCGCTCGTCGACGAAG